TGTGTTTGGTGGCATGATCCATATGTGTTTGGTGGCATGATCCTAGTGAGCTTGGAGGCTTGGGAAGATGAATCAGGACATGTCAATACCCTATTGACAATAACCAGGTCTGGGACCAGCTTGTGGCAAGGTGGTTTTGCTACAAATGACAGAAAACCAATTCAAATTGGCTTACACTATTAGGTCATCAGAAAAGTCATGATGCATTTTAGCATTGGAAAAACACATCATGACTTTTCAAATGATTCAGTATTAAATGTATTGACTGACATTATTATGAAATCTAGGTTCAGGCAAAGTTTGATTCAGTGGTTCCCGCCCAGGTCACTATGAACTTAGTTTGTGGCTGAAGTCAATACTCGGTTGTCTCCAGTGCTGTCTCTTGTCACAGATTCTACATGGGGTGTAGAAGTATGGCTGACTAGCCCTGTGTCTTAAAGACTCAAGACATCTTGGGTCTCTCCATTCCTCCAGTACCTGCAGAGGCTATTTAGAATAATGGTCTCTTATCAATGCAAGTGGATGTTAAAATAGATTGATGAACAAAGAGCTATGGGCAAACACACCCTTAGACCAGGTGCAATCCCTTCAATTCCCTTTGAAAATCTCAAGCTTGCTTCAGGGCAGGGTGGAACAAGGAATACAGGGTTGAAGTGGTTCCTGCTTTGGAATATCCTTTCTGTTGAACATGTTTGCATAAATTAAATGAATGTGAAAATATTTAGACACAGTAGCCAAAACACATATAAAAAAGGGATTAGAATAGATTTCTGATTCTTTGATACCTAGACTTTAATGAATTAATAAATCATTAATATTTATTTTTAAAGAATTATTTTAAACTTTATTTATTTATCATTTGATCAGAGAGGGACAGAGAGAGAGAGAGAAAGCAACCCACCCACCAGGTCTGGGACTCGAACAGTGGTTGGCCATGTGGGAGTCCAGCATCCTTAACCACCATGCCATCTGCCAGCCCAATATTTATTTTATTTAAAGAATTATTGTGAACCAGCAGTTAGTGTAATGGCTATGTCGCTAGACTCCCACGTAGTTGGCTGCGATTCGTGTCCTGGACCCGGTGGCTTAAAACTCACGCCGGGCGCGTGTGCGTGCGTGCCCAAGATCCCAAGAGGAGAATGGAGGAGGAGGGATTGCGGCGTGACCATCCCCCCTGGGGGGTGATTTCTCGCTTTCTGTCTCTATGTCTCTCTCTGTCTGTCTGGCGAGCGTACGCACCCTATAGCAAAAACCTCTCAAAACAAAAAAAGAATTATTTATTTAATTTTATTATTATTATTATTGAATTTACCAGAGAGAGACAGGGAGAGAAGGAAAATGAGAAAGCAAGTTGTCAGGTCCAGGACACAAATCATGATTGGCCATGTGGGGAGTCCAGCGTCTTAACCACCATGCCACCCGAAGACCCCAAATCATTAATGTATTAATAAAGATGGTCTCAGAGGCAATTCTAGAGATGGATGGAAAACAGAATCGTAAAAAATAAAATAAAACAAAACATAGAAACTGAGAACTGACACTTGAGAGTCTCACCTAAGATTTTGTGCTGGTAATTATGACCCTGACCTCATGTTTAATTTACTGTATCCTACATTTGAAAATGAGCATTTTCAGGTTGTTGTTAGTTATTTGGGCAGACATATTAAGAACAAACAGTAATGGGGCCTGCTGGTGGCATGGTGGTTAAGGGTGCTAGACTCTCAGATGGCCAACTGTGGTTCAAGTCCCAGATCTGGTATCTTGTTTTCTCACTTTCCTTCTCCCTCTCACTCTGTTCTTCTCTGGTCAAATTAAAATAAATAAATAAATAAAATAAAGTTAAAAATAAAATAATTCTAAAAAAAATGACATGCAGTAAATTCATAAGACAGTTTATTTAAAAAAACTTTAAAATCTATTTTATTTATTATTATTTAATATGCTATAGGGCAAAACTTAAAAAGTGAGTGACAAGGAAACGCAGGGAGGCAAGGCTGAGAGAAAGGCCGAAAGGTGTTCAGAAACCACTCAGTCTGAGAGCTCACTTCCCTTTTCTAAAGACACTTTGGCTGTTATGGTATCTATAATAGATAAAGACACTCTCCCAGGGCTGAGTCTGTTTGGTTCTGAGATGTTACTTCAGTAACAAACGCCATGGCTAGAATCAATGCTCTGACAATTTGTGCCTAAAGCCCCCTAAGCTGCAAGGAGGGGACACTTTAAAAAAAAAAAAAAATATGAGACTTAAACCGTGGACAACCATGTGGGAGTACAACGCCCCCTTAACCACCATGCCACCTTCCCACCCCAGACAGGACACTTTATATGCATGAGATGAAATAGATTATTGAGGTTTTCTCAATTTCACCCAAAGTAGGGTAAAAGTAGCATTGTAGAAAGGAACATGTACTTTTTTATAAAAGATATTTTTGTTATAGGGCATATGCACTCACCAGAGAGACAGAGAGAAACAGAGAAACAGAAAGTGAGAAATCACCCCCCATGGAGAATGGCCACGCTGTAACCCCTTCTCCTCCATTCTCCCCTTGGGATTTTGGGCATGCATACACGTTGCCCTGGTGTTTATTTCAAGCCTCTGGGTCTCTGGATTTCATAGGTCGCCATGTGGGAGTCCAGCAATGCAACCATTATGCCACCTGCTGGTCCAAGGAGTACATTATTTCTAAACTGAAGAGTTTGAGAGTTTGGGGTCAGCCAGTGGTGTGGTGGTCAAAGCTGGATCCCACATCACCTACTCCATGGTTTGAGTCCTGGACCAGGTGGCTTAAAGAACACACTGAGTGTGTGTGTGTAACTAATTACCTAGTTTGGTGTTACTCTTACCCTTATGATTTTCCCAAAATTGTTCTGTGGACCTTTTCCTTTCACATGATGTTTATGACCCAGTAAAGGGATATGTTCCCTTTACTGATGAACAGACAACTAGCGCCCCCCACTCCCTGCTCCCCACACACACCCCAAATCCCAAAAGCAGGGAGAGATGAAGGAGAAGGGATTGTGGCATGACCATACCTCATGGGAGGGGGTGCTTTCTCCTCTCCCCCTCTCTCTGTCTGTCTTTGGTGAGTGCACATATTCTTTGGCAAATAGAAACAAACAAACAAAAAAAGGTTTGAGAGTTTGAAGTTCTTAGTCAGAATATTAGAGCAGGGAACATATATCATCTGACATAGTTTTCTCATTTTATAGATTTTATAATTTAGGAAACTGAGAGCCAGCAAGGTGCTATGACATCGCCCAGTCTGCGTTAGAACTATGTTATGAACTATGAACTATGTTCATGAATGTTATGAACCATGGGCTATTAGTTAAGAACTACATTCATGGGACCAGCAGTTGGCATAATGGCTATATCTCTGGACTCCCATGTAACTACATGACTGTGGTTTGAATCCCAGACCCGGTGGCTTAAACTCATGCCAGGCGTGTGTGTGTGCGTGCCCAAGATCCCAAGAGGAGAATGGAGGAGAAAGGATTGCTGCATGGCCATCCCCCCTGAGGGGTGATTTCTCGCTTTCTGTCTCTCTCTGTCTGTCTGGCAAGTGTATGCGCCCTATAGCAAAAACCTCTCAAAACAAAAACAAGTACTACATTCATGACTAGAGTAGAAATGGTCCATGGATGTGAGGGTAAGGAACATACCTTTCACTGCTGTCTTTTTCAGCTGCTGGTACAGCGCCTGGCACAAAGCAGTGTTGGCACAGCTATTTTCATGAACGACTGAGAGCTGAAGCAAAGAGGGAGAAAGGAGTTCATTTAACTGTGTTCAGCACAGGGAGTGGCCAAGAGCTAATAAGCTCACAAAGTAACTCCCAGAACAGAAATTTCCATTGCGTTATATATGTTACATTTTCCGCTCTTCATTATTTACAGCATAAATTTACCTAGTTTAGTGTTACTCTTACCCTCATGATTTTCCCAAAATTGTTCTGTGGACCTTTTCCTTTCACATGATGTTTATGAACCTGTTTCTATTTTTATGGTGACATTAAATCTGTTGACTCTGACTTGTGACATACATTGATAGATTAAGGGATACTGCAGCAGATTGATATTTTTAGAACTATAACTGTTTAACAAGAAAATCTAAGCATCTGTGAGTAGTTATCAATATTATGGTAAACAATGTCATTACAGTTTTCCCAATTTAACCTGTTACATTGTGTCTCTTGAGTAAATATTCCCATTTCTTAACATTTATTTCCTGGGACCCCAGTCCCAATGGCAATTTTTGTGATCCTTGTCTAAAACAAATGACTTAAGTTTCTAAGCAAATAGGCTTATATATGACTTTATTTGTTATGATAGTTATAGATTACATTGGTTACAAAAGCTACAACCCCCAGTTAAACCTTAAAGTATAAGACTAGGACTATAGGGTCAGCAGATGGTATAATGGTTATGTTGCTGGACTCCCACATAGTCAGTCACGGTTTGAGCGACCCTGGTGGCTTAAAACTTAGGCTGGGTGTGTGTGTATGCCCAAAATCCTGACAGGAGAATGGAGGAGAAGGGGTTGCACTGTGGCGCCCCCCCCCAGGAGGGGTAATTTCTCACTTTCTGTCTTTCTCTGGTGAGCACATGTGCCCCCTATAGCAAAAATCTCTCTCTTAAAAAACAAAAAGAAAAAGAGAAAAGATTTCAAAATTGATTCTTTTTTCCTGTTATATAGTAGGTGCTTTGTAAACACTGGCCACATGCTTGACCGATGGACTGACTTGACTGAATGAACGTGAGTGGAACATGGGTATGTGTTCCCTAATGAGCTGGGCTCCCACGGGTCCCTTTCAGGCATATGTTATCTGACATTTTAGAGGACTCTACTTGCCTCGATAACACTTCTCATCTTCTAAAGTATTGCTTCCTCTTCGTTGACATAACAGGACAAATATCAGAACGCTTACAGGATGTGTGTATTGTGGCATGACAGAGAACCGGGGTTTCCTTTAAAGAGACAGTAGACAATGTTGGTATAGGAATCGTAGTCAGACACCCTGGTGTGCTGGGCTGGCACTCCGTGAGAGTGTACACTGCTCATTTGATTACGGAGCAGAGAGGCAGTTGGAGGAAGTACTCAGTTCAATAGGAGAGTGAAAACTGTACCTAAACCCAGTTGTTCTTTGACTTTCCTTCTGAGAAACCCATGTGTTCACATCTTTCTGTTGACTGTGTCCTGCTGCTGTTGCTGCTGCTACTACTTTCAAGTAAGTCTGGGCATGGACATTTATAATTAGATAATGTGTGGTACAAAATGAGAGATAACATGATGGCCATCGTAATGTTATTTGTAATAGCAAAAGTTGGTGGACATTAGGCAGCAACCTGGATGTACACCATCAGGGGAGTGGATAAATCAATGTTATGTATGTGATGAAAACAGACTGATTAAATGAATTGGTATTGAATGTCTCCAAGTTATAACATTATTGAAAAAGCTAGAGGCAGAATAATGTATAGATTAACTTTTGGTCTGTGTGCATTGCAAGAGAGTAGAAATATGTAGACACTTTTTAGTGTATAGGTTCTAAGAAGGGAAGCCAAGAAATAGGAAATCTGGGGGAGAGAGAGTGTCATACTTTTTCTATACCTTTTATACTGTTGGAATGTTTATATATATGGAATTCCTTTTAAACTTCAAAACAATCCATGAGTGTTTTCAAAAATTCTCTACCTTACATTACATACAAGCTTCTAATTCAGCCAAGAGTTTTAATTCATTGGGTATCTGATACTTAAAAAAAAAAAATGTATGTTAGGATATGTTCCCTTTACTGATGAACAGACAACTAGCCCAGAGGGTGGGCCATTTTCCTGGCAGATGATGACTCATTTTCAGATGGTCTGTTTCCATCAGCCCTGTCCCCTGATGTTCACAGATCTGGTCCACAATTCTCTTTTAGGGCAGGGGTTCTGAAATTGAGGTTTCTGGACCAGCTATGTCAGTTGCACCTGGCAACTGTTAGAAATATAGGTTCTTGGGCACAATGGTAATGCAGCTGGACCCTCATGGGAGAGGTACGGGGTTTTCATCCTGGGACCACTCTGGACACTCTAGATTCACATATGCCCCGATCTAGGCTGAATGAGACTGAGGGTGGGTCATAGCATGAAGACTCTGTTGGGAGGTATCTCTCTTCTCTCTCTCTCTCTCATGAGATAAAGAAAACTTCTAAAGAAAGAAGAAAAAGAAATATAAGTGCTCACTCAGCTCCACCCAGACCAACTGGATCAGGAGCTCTAGCATTTGAGCCCAGCTCTCTATGATTTCACGAGGCTTCCTGCTGCCCTGTATTCTGAGAATCACTGTCATCGTGAATCATGCTCCCAATGGGACCAGAGAAGTGGTTTCCTCTTTACACTATAAAGCATTATTTGCAGTTTTTCTGAAACAGATTGATCTCCCTCATTGACTGAGTCTTATTCTGTCTCCCTTTCTGCTCAGGGACTTTGGAAGGAGCATACATTGTAGAGGTGGGTCACAATGCCTATCTGCCCTGCAGCTACACTCTGCCCACCTCAGGGAATCCTGTGCCTGTGTGCTGGGGCAAGGGACCCTGTCCTGTGTTTGAATGTTCTGTTACGGTGCTCAAGACTGATGAAAGAAAGGTGACTTCCCAGCTCTCCAACAGATACCAGCTAAAGGGAAATCTCTACAAAGGAGATGTGTCCCTGACCATACGGAGTGTGACTCTGGCAGATAGTGGGACCTACTGCTGCCGGATCCAATTCCCAGGCCTAATGAATGATAAAAAAATAAACCTTGAGTTGGTTATCAAATCAGGTAAGTAGACCTTTGCATGCCGTTTTTATGCATAAATTTCACCTGTGGATCACAATATTGGGTCATCAGAAACGTCATGACGTAGTTTTCTATGCAAAAATGCATCATAACTTTTCCAATGACCCAATAAATATAATGATTATTCTCGTCTCTGACTTCCCTAGTTATATGCCCCTGGACCTAAAGTTTAAAGGCATCCCCAGTGATACCCTGCTCCATTTAACCCTCCATCTGTTTTGAAACTCATAGAGGGGATCTGTAGAATGGGAAGAGAGTGCCTGACTTAGGGTTCAAGACCCCGACTGCTTATTAGAATCACTTGGCAAGCTTTAAACATAACTAAAAATGCTTGGGTTCCACCCAGAAACCAGAGCAATCAGCACCTTTGGAGGTTGATTCTGAGCATTAGCTTTTTTAAAAAAATAATTTTTAATTTAGTATAATTTGATTATTATTATTATTTTAGTTCACTATAGGGCATGTGCACTCATGAGAAAGAGACAGACAGAGAGAGAGAAAGTGAGAAAGAAGCCACCAGGTCTGGGACTCAAACCATGATAAGCCATATGGGAGTCCAGCATCCTTAACCACTATGCCATCTGCTGACCCTGTATTAACTTTCTACAAAGTCTTCCCCAGTTGAATCTATCCCAGGTGCAGCCAGGCTTATAAACCATTGGGTTATACATGTGTGTTGGTAGTTTCACATGCTTGTATGTTTCAAGAAATTTGTAGCCAGATGGGGCTGAGTTCAAGCCCAACTCTCTCTCTTACTATTTGAGTAAACTTGGACTAGTCATTTAAATTCTGTGACCTCCTCCTCTGTAAGATATGATAGTAGGACCGGCAGATGGTGTAGTGGTTACGTCCCTGGACTCCCACGTGGTTGTTCATGGTTCAAGTCCCAGGCCCAGTGGCTTAAAAAACTCATGCTGAGGTCTCAGACCCTGCACCAGCCAGGACAGAAACCTGCTAGCCAACTCCAAGTTTGCCTGATTTTGGCCTCTGGCTTCAACTTCACGGCTATGAAATCACCCCCAGTCAGTGCTCCCTTCTGCCCCCAGACCCTGCACCAATCAGGTCGGATAGCTGCTTTGCTCCCTCTTGCTGTCCTCCTCTGTCCATTCTAACCTTTTTTCTCTCTTTTTGAAAAACTCATGCTGGTTGCATGTGTGTGAGTGCCTACACTCTGGGAGCAGAATGAAGAAGGGATTGAGGTGTGGCTATCTCCCTGTGTGTGTGTTGGGAAGATGATTTCTCACTTTCTCTCTCACTGTCTCTGCCTCTCTTCAGCAAGTGCACATGCCCTATAGCAAAAACCTCTTCCAAAAAAAAAAAAAAGATACAATAGTAATAGCTACTATACGAACCACTGAAAGGATTTTATGAGATCATGTTTATGCAAAGTGTTTAGTATAGTCACTTGTGTGGCTCTTAGTTTTATTATTAACAACTAGATTGTAACAATGATGACAGCATCTCTCCTCCATGAAACATTTGAAGTGTGTGATACACTTTCATTGAAGGTGTTCAGGTAGGTTTGGAAGCTGAGATATTTCTGTTCATTATTGTTTTTCATATTTTGATTTTTTAATTCTTTACTCTAAGAGCAGCTTCGTTTTTTATGTTGGTTTCTTACATTAGCTGAAGTTACCACTGCTCCGACTCTACAGGGGGACTTGACTACAGCAAAAACCTCTTCCAAAAAAAAAAAAAGATACAATAGTAATAGCTACTATACGAACCACTGAAAGGATTTTATGAGATCATGTTTATGCAAAGTGTTTAGTATAGTCACTTGTGTGGCTCTTAGTTTTATTATTAACAACTAGATTGTAACAATGATGACAGCATCTCTCCTCCATGAAACATTTGAAGTGTGTGATACACTTTCATTGAAGGTGTTCAGGTAGGTTTGGAAGCTGAGATATTTCTGTTCATTATTGTTTTTCATATTTTGATTTTTTAATTCTTTACTCTAAGAGCAGCTTCGTTTTTTATGTTGGTTTCTTACATTAGCTGAAGTTACCACTGCTCCGACTCTACAGGGGGACTTGACTACAGCCTTGTCAAGGATGCTAGCCACCGAGGAAAATGGCACAGGTAATTATTCTCAGGACACAGAAGGAAGCCTTTAGCCAGTTTCTGAGTTCAGAAGATTTTAAATGTGGGGAAAAGATGAGCAAACAGTTTAAGAGTGGAGGCATGGGAGCCAGCTGGTGGCCTGGTGATTTCTGGATCCCACACAGCCAATTGTGCATTTTAAGTCCTGGACCCGTTGACTTGAAAAACATGCCAGGTGTTTATGCACTCAAAATCCTAAGAAGAGAATGGAGGAGAAAGGATTACAGCATGGCTGTCTCTCCTGGGGGTTGATTTCTCTTTCTGTCTCTCTCTTTTTGTTTTTGTCTGTCTCCTGCAAGTGTGTATGCCCTATAGCAAAAATTGAAAAAAAAAAAGGTGGAGATATAAATGTTTTGCATACCTAACATAGTGCTTGAGGTGAGGAAGATAGTGGAAATGACATGCACTGGGAAAAAAAAATCACCCTGGGTTAGGATTCTGGGTTGGCCACTAACTAGTCGAGTGACCATGGACAAGGCCTTTCACTTCTAGATTTCAGCTTCCTCTTCTCTCCAAGGAGTTGGTCCAGAGACTTTGGATTTTATGACTCAGTAAAATTCCCCACTCTGACAAGAATTTTGATTTTGCCAACTAGGGTAAAGTAAATCTATTATTGCCACTATTGCATTAAAAAAGACACTCTGAGATTTTATTTTACTTAAGTTTTAACTTGTAAAAAACTTTAATAGAAAATCTTAGTCTTTCATTTTGCTTAAATATGAAATAAATGTAATGCAATAAAAAATGCATTACATTGTCCTCGTTATTTTTTATTTACTCCAAGACTGGCGATATTTTGTCATAAATTGGCCCCAATTCATGTTTGTGGACAAATAGATTAGATTATGTGATATCTGTGGAAGTCTATCAGCCTCCTTGGATTCCAATATCAGGAAAAGTAGAGAATATTTTCAGGTAATTCAGCCAGGAATTTGCAGGCTGTTCTGGAAAAGAAGGCAGGGCAGAAGGAGTAGCCCTCAGGTCACACCCATCGAAGAGCTTAATCTTAGGTTATTTCCTATCAGAGTCCTAATCTCTTCTAAATTCTCTCAAGCTCATATTTCTGTAAAATGAGGTTAATAACAGGTAAGCCCTACCTCATAAGGTCATAGATCTTATACATCACAATTTATAAAATTTAAACTAAAAAGTGTGTCCAAAATGCTTAGTCCAGTGTCTGATTATAGTGCGCACTGAATACATGTTGGCTACTATCATTAACATGGCCGGTAAAAGCAGGATGAGACTGTAGTTAAATACTTCAGTGTCAGATAGAATTTCAGTTCTTTTTGCTAGCTCTGGGAACTCAGTAAGGTGATTCGAACTCTCTGAAGCTCTGTTTCCTCATCGCTACAGTGAGGATAATTATAGTGCCTCTTTCATGCGGTTGCTGTAAAGTTTAAACATGGTAATGTCTGTAAAGTGCTCAGTGTAGTTCCCAGCCCGTAGAAAGCACTACAATTTAGCTATTATTATATTATTAATTTTAGCTCTGAAAGTTCAATCTTTAGTTGTCCTCTAGTGATTGGTAGGCAAGATCCCTTAGGCAGTTGGAAACTAATTATTAGGAGAACAAATGATCATCCACATTGTGAGCTAATCAAGTCTACCAGATACTTATGGTATGTCATTTAAACTATAGAACCTAAAACTATAGACCTAGAAGGGACTTCTGGGATCATTTGTGTCACTCTCCTTTCCTGGGCTCCAGGACACTTTGTATCATCTGGAGTGACCATTTACTCTGTGCCCATACATGCAGGCAGGCATTCAGGGGACAGAGAGTTCATTTTCTCACAAGTAACCTAAACCATAAACAGAAATCTCTTTCC